TTGATCCCAGATAATTCAGACAAGTGTGAGAATGTCTAGAGATGAAAGTAGAAGAAATTCAAGGGACTGGGAAAAAAAGAAACAAAAACCTCACTGTGGTTGGGAATGATGAGAAGATACTGGCAATGTCAAGGTGGGATATGGGTTGGTTTTAAGAATGTTTGTTCAGGAGGTGGGATGGGATGGAGGGGCGGGAAGGATACTGGGGACGTTGGTGGTAGAAAATGTAGACTGGTAGAGGGATGGGTGTTCAATCATTGTATGACTGAAACTCAATCATGAAAGGTTTATAACTGTATCTCACGTTGATGCAATAATTTAAAAAGTTAATATTTGCATCTCAGAAAGAATGTTGATTCAGGACAGAGGATGGATTTGAAGGTGACAGGCTTGGAGGAAGAGAAACAAGTTAGGAGGCAGTGTAGTAACTGAGGCTGAAGAAGTTTGTACCAGGGCATGGAAAGAGAGTACAGGGGTTAAGGCACACTCCTTGCATGCAGCCAGCCCCAGTTGGATCCCTAGCACTACAGGTTCCCGTAACATTCTGGGGTAAGAATCTGATACACTCAAGAACTCCAGATTGACCCCGGTAATCCCTGGCCCAATGCATTGGGCCCTAGCATTTAACTGGATGGGTAAGAACCACTGGGAGTGGCCCTTGGAATGAACACCCCGTGAAGACCTCCTTAGCCTCCAAAAAAGAAATAAGGGTTACAATTCAGAAAGGGCAAGAATAATAAGAAGAAACATGACTGGGGATGATGTTCAAAAAGGAAAATGCATGCCTAGTGTCTCCACAGACCTGCATTCAATCCTGCCAGGTATGCCCCCTGAGCACTCACCAAAGTAACCTCTGCAACTAAAAAAAGGGGGGCTAAACAATAGGAATTGATTAGGGAATGGAATTTGGGAATACAGGTCCTTGTAAGGACTCATCCTAAGCTTCCTGCTGAAAGTGTTTGGTGTTACCATCGGTTCAAACAGCCAACAAGACCAACACAGCTTAAGAGAAGAGTTAGGACCAGTGGTTCTACCTAGGGATGGGTGTTGTGAGGCATCAGGAGTGGGTTCAAGGAGTCCGAAGGCATGTCCCTCATGACGTCTCACTCTGTGGAATCCTACTGGAATCAGTTCTACTCCACTGGGTTGGATGTGGCACCGAGGGACATGAAAATATTTGGTTTGGTTTTCTATTGCCCTCACAAATGCCCTAGCAAGCAGAGAGATCATTTAGGAGATTGTTCTTCCATAGCTTCACATTAGCTCTCAGGGAGTGGTGCCCACTCTGGAGGAGACGGGGAGAGGAATGGAATTGAGGGAGCTAAAACTAGGGCTGCTGGGCAAGCCAGGGGGTGCTAGGATGGGGGAAGATGGAAGTGGCTGAGGGTTCCCATGGGGGGAGGCTGAGGAATTATTTTTCTGAAAGGGGGGTCATCTAGGTCAAATCCATCTGATTCTCTCTGATCTAAACTATTGCCAGTTCTAGCTGGTGAGAGACAAGTGTTTGTTCTATGAAGTCTGTGATTGTTTCTCCACTTATCTAAAACCTTAGAAAGACTCACCATGAAAAAGCAAGCCTCGGAGATATTATTCGGTCATGGTGCGTTCACATCTGTCATTCATGTTTAGCAGTGGGATAGTAAGTCTATTTTATAGGTAACACATTTCTTTTTGAATCCCCTTTTTATGAGCATTTTAAATGGCTCCAGTTTTTGTTGTCAATAACAGTGTGGGAGATAGCTTCAAATCGCATCTCAAAGCTTCTGTGTAGTTATTTCTCTGAAGTAAAATCCAAGAAGTTTAATTCCCTGGTGTACAAATAAAAAAATCCCCTCTGAAATTTGGATGAATGTTTCCAAGTTGCAGCATTGGCTAGTTTACTCAAGAACAGTGAATGTTGTTTCTTTTGCCCAATGACTAGGTGACACAGATGAAGTTGTTATTAATTTGAGGTCTGGTATCTCTCCATGAACATATAGGCCATGAGGCCTCTTCCCTGAATTCCTGATGAGGCCTTTGAGATCCTTCTTGCCTCTTTAGCTTCTAGCCCTCTTTACACTGACGTGGAAGCTCGTTTACAGATGACATACATTGAGCTTTTTCTTGAAAAGAATGTCCACCCAGATTTTCATTTATTTATTTATTTTAACTCAGTGTTAGATAATGGTCAGTGGTGTTCTGTCAATTAGATAACTTTAGCAATTTGTGTGTGTGATGCTGGGGACTGAACCCAGATCCTAAGGCATGGGTGCTTCCCACTGCTGAGCGATATATTCCTTCTCCTAGGGTCTGGCTTTGCTTTCTTTTTATAGCTTATGGTACTAGGAGGGAGTGGCTTAGGGACTGTCTCTTAGAAATACTGGCTCTCATAAGAATTCTCCGGGGTTGACAATGTACCTGGGGGTAACTAGTCTTCTGTTATAGAAGACATGGGCAACTAACCAAACCTTAATGCTTGGCCCTGTGAAACCAGGGCCTTACTTCGAGTTTGGGAAATAAAACAGAAGCCTGGGGGGCAGGAATACAGTGGGGCAAAGCACTTGCCTTGCAAGAAGTCGACCTTGGTTCAACTCCTAGGACCACAGTTTGGTCCCTCAGGCCCTGCCAGGAGCAATCCTGAGCACAGAGCCAGGAATAGGCCCTCAGCACTGCCAGGAGTGGCCCCAAAACAAATGAGCAAACGTGAAAGTAAACATTCCAAGCAGCCAGTTTTGAGTGCTGGCCACACAGTCTTCCAGAAAGAACAATCTTAACTTCCTTGCTTTGTGTTTTCTGATTTGCTCTGTGGTCTCACATGACCAGCTTCAATTCAGTTGAGCTTTAGGGTCACCAGTGGAAGAGGCAAGGGAAGGTATCTCCACCACATTTTTCAGAAGAAATTTAAAATGATGCAATGAATCACCAAGATCAGCCAGATCCTGGGGCTAATACTTCCTGTATCCAAGTGACATTCCCATGTATCTCAATGAAAAAAGAAATATTTATATTTCCAGTTTTATAGCTAATGAGTAGGTAGCACTTATTCTTTGCCAATTGTGTACATTCGGGGTGAAAATTTCCAGAACTTATTTTCCTTGTAATCCCCTCGAACATCAAAGCCTAAGAGTTTGAGGAAGGAAATTAATAATTTTCTACAAATGTGTCAAAATGTATGCTTCAGAATTAAGACTGAGTATACATATTTTTGTATATGTAATGCATTTCCTTTTTTTTTTTTTGGTCTGTAATCATATGTAAACTCAATCTAAGGTTAGTTATGTGTATGTTTTGGCTACACTAAATAGGAGTTAAAGGTTTGTTTTGTAATGCATTTTAGAGTCCAGGAAGATAAAGAAAACATACACCAAGAGAAATACACACAAATAAAGGCCATGGTACAAATGTGCCTCAGAGTTCACAGTGCTGATGCCGCAGTTGGTACCATTCATATCAAACCACGGGGGGAATAGGTGGGTGGGCTATCTGGGGTGAAAGAAGGGTTATCTGCCTCTCAAGACCTAGAGTGTTTTATAAGTGGGCTTCTACTCAGATGGTCTCTCACTCTTTCATCTGCAGAGTGGATATAAAACTGTGTTGAAGCCTTTTTTGGTGGCGTCAGGGACACGTTATTCAGTTCAAAACCAAGGGCTTCGCCCCATTGATTTCTTCCCTTCCCTGTCCTTCTCAGAGGCCTGCGGGATAAAGGGGCCAGGGGCCTTGGACACGTTAGTATAGAGCTGTGGTATATCAACATATCTGAACCAAAGAGCCAGCAAAACTGAGATCCAAAATACAACCGCCAAACTTAAAAATGTGCCTGTAAAGGAGGCAGCTAGGGTGGGAGGGAAACTGGGGACACTGATGAAGGGAATCTGACACTGGTAGTGGGATGGATTGATGTTTAAGTTGTATGCCTGGAGGATGGAGGGATAGGAAAGGGCTTGCCTTGTTATGCAGTCCACTTGGGTTCAAGCCCTGGCAACCAAAATGGTCCCCGCAGCCCTGCCAGCAGAGATCCCTGAGCAGAGAGCCAGGAGTAAGCCCTGAACACAGCTGGGTGTGGATAAAAACCAAAAAATTGTATGCCTGAAACTCAACTATGAATAATTTTGTAAATCACGGTTTCTCAATAAAAAAAGAAGAGAAAAGAAAAACAAAGACAAATACCCCAAGGCCTTGGTGTTTCCTGCTGATTCCTGTAACCCAGGCCCAGCAAGCTCACGCTTCTCAGGCCTGTGCGCTTTCCACGTGCTTCACTGCTGGGAATGCTTCAGAACTCCTAGAGCAGTTACAAACAGCAGGTCTTTGCTCTGATAGAATTAGCAGTTTCACTTTAGCACTTTCCTCCCGTTGTTCATCGATTTTTGCCCGAGCAGGCCCAGTAACGTCTCCATTGTGAGACTTCTTGTTACTGTGTTTCGCATATCGAATACACCACAGTTAGCTTGCCAGGCTTCCCCGTGTGGGCGAGATACTCTTGGTAGCTTGCTGGGCTCTCCAAGAGGGGCAGAGGAATCGAACCTGGGTCGGCCTGGCTGGCCGCATGCAAGGCAAACGTCCTACTGTGCTATCTCTTCAGCCCCTCTGATAGAATCAATGGGAAAAATGTGGATTGAAAACAACCCGGGCATCTTGCAGGTTTACTGCAGCTTCAGAGTAGAAACTTCCTTTTTTTCTTAGAATCAGTTTCACCTAAGGTGTAAATGGTCAGGTTCCAAACAATCTTTTCACCTGACTGGCATTCTTTTAAAAAATGAACGCCTCGCTACAGTCTTAGAGTCAATTAAAGGGAACTCTCCTGTGTGTGAAAAAGGGGTTGGCAAGTCCCTTTCTTAGTTTTGTTTTTGGGGTTATACGGGGTCACATGGTGCTCAGGGGGCAATATGGTGGCAGGGATCACACCCAGGCCACCTGCAAACACACGCTCAGCCTATTGAGCTCTCTGGTCCTTGGTGAGGCTCCAACTTGGTCGCCATGTTTTACAAACAATTAATGATGTCTTTCTTTTTTTTTTTTTTCAGACAACCGGAAGATCAGAGTTAATGGGACCAGGGAACCCATCGAATTTAAATCCAATCAGTGGTTCGGAGCCACCGTTAAAGCTCACAGAGGCAAAGTGGTGGTGAGTATTTGCTCGGGTCTCAAGGAGGCTGCTCTGGAATGCAGGATCACATGAAATGGTGGAACTGCCAACATCCTCTCCTGTGGGAACATGTCCTCTCAGAGAAAAAGATCCATACTGATTAGGGCTGGAACCAAGCACAGCAGGGAGTGCACTTGCCAGGCACACAGTCGACCTGGGTTTAGTCCCCCACACCCCATATGGTTCCTGAGTCTACCAGGAGTGATGCCTGAGCATAGAGCCAGGATCAGCTCTGAATACCGCTGGGTGTGGCCCCCAAATGAACAAACGAAAAAGAAACCAGAGTTGATGAGAAGGAAATAACCCATTCAAGTCAGAGGGAAAGGCTTGTTTTCCAGAACAGTTATACCATTTCAAATATTTCAAAAACCACTAAGGGAGACAGAAAAATAACAACTTTTCTCTTAAGAGGTACATATTTTATCAAGAGGTATTCATCCAGATGGTTAGGTCATTGCAAATATTTTAAAACAACTAAGTGAGATAGAGAAACAAGACCTTTTTTTCTTAAGAGGTACATATTTTATTAAGAGGTATTGAGAGGTATTTATTAAGAGGTAGTAAGAGGTTCATATTTCATTGCTTACAATTTCTTGAAAGAGCTGTTTTAAGTTTGACCAGGAAAACAGAATCATAACTATTAGGATGCTAAAGAACAGTACTCCATACTCTCATCTTTCCTTTTTAAAACTAACTGTCACTGTCACTGTCCTCCCATTGTTCATCGATTTGCTGGAGCGGGCCCAGTAACGTCTCCACTGGAGACTTTGTTGTTACTGTGCTTGGCATATCAAATAAGTCACGAGTAGCTTGCCAGTCTCTGCCATGCGGACGAGATACTCTCGGTAGCTTGCCGGGCTCTCCGAGAGGGGCGGAGGAATCGAACTCGGGTCAGCCATGTTGGCTGCATGCAAGGCAAGTCCCCTACCGCTGTGCTATCGCTCCAGCCCTTTTTTTTTTCTTTAAAAAATATATCTACTGGGACTGAGGAGGTGGCTCAGAAGTACAGAACACAACTTATATGTGTGAGGCCTTGGGTTGGGTCCCTAGCACCACACGCATTGATTAATTAAAATGTACCTGGGTTTCACAGTTCCCGAAATACGTTAAAATTTTTTTGTGGAGGGTCACACCCAGAGTTGCACAGGGGTTACTCCTGGCTCATGCACTCAGGAATTATTCTTGGCGGTGCTCTGGGGACCATATGAGATGCTGAGAATTGGACCCGGGTTGGCTGTGTGCTAGGCAAATGCCCTACCCACTGTGCTATTGCTCCAGCCCCGCATTGAAATTTTTTTAATTAAAAATTAAATGAAAATTAAAACTGAGAAAAAGAATCCTCCTAAATATGTATCTTTGAAGTATTATGACTTCATAATTTCCTTGACTTATTTTGAGCAATGATTCAGGTCCATGTTATTGAAAAATAAATGTTCTGCTAAGTGCATCTGGAAATTTTTTTGTTGGGGGAATTTTTTTAAACCATTGGCTTTCATTTCCTTACAACAAGAAAGAAATAACTTTGGCTTTTAGGATTTGTTTAAATCTGTTTGAATTATGATTTAATAAGAGCAAGGATCTAAAGGAAATGCTTTGCTTTATTTGGTCTTTGGTGAGCCCCCCAAAGGGACTTTTGACATAAAGCAGATAATGTTTAAAATATAGATAGACTGCTCTTGTTACAAATCTAGCATTCCCTATGTCTCTCTGTAGAATTCTACTTGCACTCATATAGTTTTAATATTCCAGAATTGGTTAAAAAAAAAAGAGGGAAAATCTGCCTTTTTTATTCTTTAGTGGTACAAGCTAAGTAGAATATATTTTAGGGTTAAAATAGAATTTGGCTATTGATTTTTTTGTCCTAAAATTTATCTGCATCATATCACTGCTAACTATTCGATATTTGTTGACATCTTCAAACCATTGAGAAAAATTTAAAAAAATACACTATATTCATAATAACATGAGGGCAAGCTTGCCTTTTTAAAAATCATGTGATAGAAATTAAGATAATATATACTACTCCTTAGGTTTAGTATTTCTCTTGGAGTATTAAAACTTAGCAGAATAGAGTTAAATTCTACTCGATGTGTCTTAATTTTCAAAACAACAAAAATGCTGCAAATGAGCATCATGGTGAGTATTCAGATACCATGAGTGTGTTTGTGTGTATTCAGTGTGGATAGGAGCATCCCCCCGCCCCCGTCCCTTCCCACCAGCGTGAGGCTAGCAGATATTTGAAGGATCCCTTTGGGGCGCCCACTGCCTGAAAACACCAGAAAGAGTTTCTGTGGGCTCTGGCTGTCTCCAGGGAGACTACAGGTGAGAGCAGGCAGCAGAGGGCGGGAAATAGGTGAAGTACGCTGAGAGCATATTGAAACAGCAAGTCCAACAGGTGCCCATGGAACCTAACAGTGGGACTAAGAGCTGTGGGGCTGCATGATCAAAAGATGAAGAACTAGACACCCCCAAGAGGTAGTTCTGTTCAAAACTTTACACCTGAGTTCAGTGACAAGGGAATAGGACACAAAGATAATCAGAAGTCTTTTCTATAGAATGAATTAACTGCATGTCCTCAACATTGAGATTGTGACAAAAGCAGAGGAACATGGAGGTTGTGTTAAAGAAGATTTCGGATCTAAGATGACAGAGATATGAAAATTAAATGCACCATAGTTCTTCAGCCATAAGGAGAAAAGACCATCAGCGACATTGAGGCAATTGGAGAAATCTGAAGGAAGTTCATAGGTCCGAGGAGAGGAAGGGAGCGCAAACACTCTCCCAATTGTGCTCACTGCTGCTTAAAGAAGCTCACAGCGGGTGCTGGCAGGGATGGAGGCCAAAGTTTCCTCCTCACTGCTCCTTAAAGAAGGGGCATGTATTTCCTACCCAGCCCCCTGCAGAAGGGGTGTCTGTGACTACATCATGCAGAAAGCCAGAGAAAATTACCCAGCAAATGTGGACACAAAACAATGAGTGAGTTGGGGTGAAAAGCAGGGAAGAACTTTCCATATTGTTCCAGGATCTATTTCCACCAACAATATCTAAGGCAGGATGTCAGAAAGTATGTTTCATTTTTACTCCAGAGGAATAGTCCTTAAATTAGAAGCTGCGAATGAAGCAGCAGCTAGATTTCTGCTATGATAAATTATTTGCCATAAAATACAGAGCTTGTAACAATGGATTCACAAGTACTTTGAATAGCAAAGCTAATTTTTAACCTCTCTCCAATGGGCATGCATTGAATTTAGTTCAACATCCATTTATTGAGCACATTTTATATGCAAAACCCCTATGTTAAATGTTGTAGGCAGTTAAACCCATTTTAAAAGGAGTTCCAACGTCTGAACAAATGTTTGTGTAGTAGTACATATGCATCTTTATTTAATTTAATATTAGCTGGAAATAAGCACGAGACATTTCAGACCTGTTCCTCCAGGGTTTGGCTTTGTCGCACTTAGAAGGCATTTATGGAATGATTTCACACCTATTGTTTCAGTTTCTTGTCACTTATCTCAGTAAGTTTCCCCCTCTCTGGTGGGGCTTTGCACTGTTGTGAGTTATCTTGCAGGCAATGTTTGGTGCCCTGGAAATGCTTCTGGTTATTCATATGTGCTTTTTTTCACTTTTATTTAAATTTTTTAATATTAAGTTTTTATTTTATTGAACCACCATGAGATAGGGCATTCCAAAGCTGTTTGTGATTGGGTTGCACCATACAATGTTCCAACACCCATGTGCTCTTTTACAGTCTCTTTGATCCATCTTATAAAGTCGCTGAAACGAGCACAGTTTAGCTTTTTCAGCAAACATGCTTTCTCTCCCCTTCAATTACACCGAACAAAAACTACTGAGTGAGCAAGTAGACCCCAGGATTCTTCGATGAGCAGGAACATGATCAAATGCAAGTCACTGGTAGAAAGTGTAGAGAGGCACACCCAGTGGGAAACAGGCAAGTCCACACAACAGGTTGCAAACCGTGTTTATGCAACACTCTCACAATACCCAACATCTCAAAACAACCTAAGTGTCCAAGACCAGATGAGTGAATAAAGAAACTAAGGTGCAGAATGCAATACACTCGGCTGTAAGAAAAGATGAAGTCAGGCAATGGCAACATGAAAGATGCTATTGAATAAAATGAGTTGGAGGGAGGACAGACACAGAATGATCTGTCTCATATACAAAAACATAGCAGAGGAATTACTAACGCTCAAAGGCAACAGAATCTGAGAACGGGTCTTCAGTAGGATGCGGCCCACAGGGGAGCTGGATAGGTGGGGGAAAGACCTGAGACAACGGTAAGAAACGCCTGTCACAAGTTGGGTGGTGGGAGAGAAAGAAAATGTTGGTAGAGATTGACGCAGGTGAAGGGATCGGTGTTGGAACATTGTTCGAAACTCAATCATGAATAACTTTGTAAATCAACAGTGCCTTCATATTTTCTCCTTCTAATAAAATAAAACACAGAAAGAAAATTAAAAAAATTAAAAGAAATGTGTATTTTCTTTGACATTTCTCAGGCCTGTGCCCCTCTGTATCACTGGAGAACTCTCAAACCCACAGCTGAGAAGGATCCAGTTGGCACCTGCTATGTGGCAATTCAGAATTTCAGCGCCTATGCTGAGTACTCTCCATGTCGCACCAGTAAGTGATTTTGACCCTGAAACTGACACTGAGCTGTTGGAGACAGTGGACTCTGCATAACCCCCACTCCTGGGAAATCATGGTGTCATTGGGGAGAAGGGATGAGAGTCAAACTGGACTTTTGCAGAATGTCTTGCTGAGTCATAACGACCGAGACATCAAATTCTGGTAGTTCTTTTCCACGGTTGATAAAAATTTCAGAATCTACAGTTAAGTTGACTGGATCCTCTCACGGGCTTTCAACTTTCTGCTGGCATCTAGAGTCCACTCTGTGATGCTAAGAACGCTGACTGCCCACCCAGCTAGTCTGTTGCCAGGATAGCCCATGTGACTATGGGGCTGTGGTTGGCACAGAAGTTCTGTTCAGCCTGTGTTCTTCCTTTCTTTGGCTGGTCGTTATCCAGTGGGTGTTTAATCTCTCCAAGATACTCCAGAGCCCTGGAGCCTAAGTCTCCCCTGGCTGTGCTGGAATCTTCAGCACCTGTGCTTGAGATCAAGTCGGAGAGTGTCACCTTTGGGCCATGGCAGTTGGTTCACTACACCTTTGCAGAAGGAATATCCTATTGCTTTGGAAGAATATGACTGATTGACTGAGAGTCCTTACAACTCTTTGTTTTGTTTTGGAGACCACATTTGATGATGCTCAGGGGTTACTCCTAGCTGTGCATTCAGGAATTGCTCCTGGAAGCACTTGGATCCCTATGAGAGACCAGGGATCAAACCCAGGTTGCCCATGTGCTAGGCAAACGTCCTCCCCACTGGACTGTCTTCCAGCCCTGCCCTTCCAACTTTTCCAGTGTCATACTGCAGTGTCAGAAAACTACAGCTTTTCATTCTATTCTTGATCGTTTGCAAAATCACACCAGGGAGAAGTGGCATTAGAAAGAAGATTCTAAGGACTCACTTGGGAATGTTGATTTTTTTTATATACAACTCAATTCAAATTAAAACTAAAAATGTTTCCCATTTGGGGTGAATTTTTTCTAAGTGTACAGGTCAGTTTAGGTAATGTTAGAAATAAAATGATGAGTGGATCAGTGATACCCAGGGTTAATACAGAAACTGATGAGTTTAGAGATCATTCCTACAGGGCCAGAGGGGAGCAGATCTCTTTAGTGGGGCTTGGGCAAGGATTCTGAGAGGAAGGAGGCTGCTGTACTGTTTAAAAATATTAACATAAGCCCACCACTACCTACTACCACATCAGCTGAATGAACAATCAGTGAAATTGGGATTTTATTTTAAATTATAGTAAAATAGGGCTCCCTCGAGGTAATAAACCTCAATGATGTTTTCATTCTATCCAGGATCCTATATTTTTGTTTACAAGTTTATTAGCTTTTCTAATTAGAAAAATGTGCAAATAAACACATTTTTTCCAAATGACATTTAAGTCTGCTTGGGAAGTAGATTCTTTTTTTTTAATCTATCAATGGTGTGTAATGTTATAGAAATTCAGGGCTCACCTCGACCCTTTAATGACTACCCAGCACATTCACCAACTGTCCAGTGCCATCCCACTCCTGCAAAGACCCCTGTCCCCATCCTCCTCACCCCAGCTTGCCCTTTTCTTCTGTCCACTACCACAGTTTTCACCAAGTTTAGTCTAGGAGTAAGTCCTGTTGCTTCCTGCCAGTTTCTTTGCTTTAGTTGCCAGATCATCCCACTTATGAGTGAAACCATCTGGTAACCGACTTTCACTTCTCAGCATAATCACCTCCAGTTCCACTCTTTTTATCCCCCAAGGCATGATGCTATTTCTTTTAATGGCAGCATGTATATTCCCTAGAGTACACAGACCAGTCCCACTATCTAGTCATCTGGGGCTGGCCATGTTAGTGGAGTCCACGCTGGGGCTACTAAGAATAATGCTGTTATGAATTAGTGTTTTCAGGTTGTTTGTCTAGATGCCTAAGCATTGCTGGATCATCAGAAATTTCCTTTTTTGTGCTCAGGAATCACTCCTGGCAGGGCTCAGGGGATGATAGGGAGTGCTGGGTTTTGAACCCAGGTTAGCTGCATGTAAGGCAAGACCTCTACCTGCTGTACTATCTCTCCAGGCCCTGGAATTTTCACTTTTATTTTTTAAAGTTTCCTCTTTATTAGTTTCACCTATATACAATCCCACCAACATTTGTGTCCTGTGTGTGTGTGTGCGCGCGCACACACACACACACGTATCCAGTTTTTTTGTTTGTTACATTCATTTCTTTGTTTTTTTTTTTTTTTTTACACTAGCCATTCTCACAAGTGTGAAGTGATAACACCCATGGGGATTGTTTGCGTTTTCCTAATGCTAAGCAATGCTGAAGTTTTCCTTTACGTGTCTGTGGGCATCTGTGGGTCTTTAGAGAAGTGTCTATTCATACACATTCATATTAAACTCACTAAGAGTGAATTGATTTACATTTCAGAAACAGAGCACCAAATACTTGGTGAGTTCAAGGAACTCACATTCCAGAAGGGAAGGCACACTGCCTGCATGTGAATAAACAAGCTCTAAATATCATTTCAGAGAGTCAAAGAGAAACTGTCGCCAGGGTCAGAAGCAGGGATGGGAGCTCTGGGTGGGGAGCAGGGCCTGGTGGCTGTCTGCTCAGCAGATGGGTGCTGTGGGGAGAAGGGATCTTCCCAGGCCTGAGCAACATCCACCAAAGGAAATTTGATGTACAATCCACTCAAGGCAGTGTGCTCCTGGGCCTGGAAGGAGGCTAACCAGTGTGGACATGCTGAAGATACAAGTCTGGGAGAGAGGTCAATTAAACCCCGAACTGACCCAGGCAATTAATGGTAGAGCTGAGTGTCAGTATTGACTCAGATGTAATACAGGGAGAATCGGGAAAGACGCTATCAGATGATTTCATTGACCCTGTGCACTGATTTCTCACGGCTTACTGGAGTCTTCCTCATCACCACAAACTGCCAGAGCTAAAACAAGGGGTGCATCCTTGCCAGGCCCCTTGCTTGGGAGATGCCTTCCTCTGGGGTATCCTCGGGCTGATCCCTGCACTGCCATTGTGCCCAGCTGCTCTGTAAGGAAGGCTGTGGGGGGGAGGGGGCGCACTCTGTTGACAAAGTAGCCCATCTGTACTCGAGGTGTTGAAAATCACAGTGGGAACTGGAGCCACTGATCTGAATCTGTGAGTTCCAGTACATTCCACCGTGTGGTCCACAGGCAAATGATGATGCCAATCTCTCTCCTTTATCTTTTTTCCCCCCTAAATCAAAGAAAAGCTGCACAAAAGTAAGATGAACTTCATATTGAGTTGCAGCATAGTTAAGTACATGGCTCAGAATTCCTGCAACGCGGGACGCATTCAGAGTCTTCCTATCCTCCTGGCCTCTCTCTGGCTGTGAATTCTTCTTCCTCCTCGACCCCCTCCAAGCAGTAGGCTTCCTGTCTTCTCTGAGGGGTTCACAGTTCATTAACACAAAGCCAGCCTGTTCGGGACATATGGTCAGTAGCTTGGCATATGCACATCAGCAATATTACTTTCAAAAGAGAATTGAGGAAGCCGCTTATGTTAATTCCACACTACAAACCTTGTCCATTAATACCCGGAGCAACATGGACGCTAATAGGTTCATTCATATTAATGTCCAGAGCTCAGTCAGTCGGTTATTCACAATTCAGGGTGGGTTAGGGGTGAGGGAACTTCTGCTCACCCTTCCATTCCATTTTGGAAATCAGCCCATAGGAATGAGCCATCAGCCTGATGCCCTGGATTTCTGAGTTGCTTCTGGAACATCACAGTTACAGTTATCTATGCTCTGGGAAGAGAGATTCTTCCAACCCTCAGAAAACTACAATCCTAAGAGAAAAACCACTTTGCAAAGGAAAGACTCTCACCTCCAAGTAGAACCAGTGCTTAAACATTTGAGGATGGCTGTTTTCTCATTACATTTTATGCAAAATCAGTATTTGCCTCTTAACTGTTTTTTTTCTACTTGTTTTGAAGCAAAAATTTTTAAGGAAATGCTCACAATCCCCCCTACTGCACCCCCTGTCACTTGAAAAACTTACTGTACTGGAAATAAAACATCAGAGGTTTTTTTTTAAAAGGGAGTTGAAAGAAAGGTTTGTGTGTTAACAAATCATTTCTAAATGCTCCTCCAAATAATCCAGTGTAAGAACTAGAACAAGAATCTTTCACACCCAAGGAAGCTACTGAAAAGAACCAATGGTGGCTACTAAAATCGGTGCTAAGACCTAGCCAGAAAAGGGGAGTCAAGATTGTAGGGAGAGTGGGGAAGGCCAGATCCATTTCACAAAGTTTCTGAAACCCATGCGTGTCCTTTTCCTGTGGTGACAGCCGCTTCCTCTTGCCTCTTGCTTTGTTTTCCACTCAGGAGTCCTTAAGAAAGGAGGGAATATGTATATGTTGGTCACACTTAACCACACAGTTCCCCACGAGTCCCCCATTCTGAGCCATGTTTGGGGTTTAGTTTTAAGCACTTCAGAAATTGTGGAGATGCTTTTCAAGTACAAAGGGTAAATAGGAAATAATGATCTGAATGTATGCCCTGGAACCTTTTAATGCATATATCCTGAGAATTCACATGCTGGCTGACTAGAATTTATAAACCTGCCTGGAAATGTTCTAGTGAATCACAATGGTCCTACTGACGCCCCTGATTGCACAGTCCCCATTCAGAAGATTCACTGAATTACCTAATTTATTAATGTATTACCTAATGCTGATGGACTCATTTAAAATTGATCTCCTGGAGGCTGGAGTTACACTACAGCAGGTATGGCACTTGCCTGGCACGCAGTCAATGAGGGTTTGAGCACCATCACCACATACAGTCCCCCAAGCACCATCAGGAGTGACCCTGAGTTCAGGACCAGAAGTAAACCTTGAGCACAGCCTGGTATAGCCCAAGCCTTCCCGTTGGAAAAAAAGAGTTTTTTTAGAACACTATGAATAAACAAGAGGCTCTCCTGAAAGGATCATTGGAATATATCTTGGAAATGATGACTCTATAACATCGATCTATTTTTATTTTTCTAGGCAATGCTGATCCCGAAGGCCAGGGCTACTGCCAAGCAGGTTTTAGCCTGGAGTTCTACAAGGTGAATTCTTTTGTTTTTATTTTATATGATATTTTAAAATCCCTCTGCCTTTCATTTCCACTTTTGCCTCTACCCTCCCAACACCAAGAACTTGAGTAGTTTTCTAGCCTGGGCAACTTCCTTTGTTTTTTTTTTTTTTTTTTGTATATTCTTTGTCTGGACTAAAGCAATCTCTGCAGTAAGGACCAATTAAATAGTATACAGAGAGGGTGGAGAAAGAATACAGTGGATAGGTCATTTACCTTGCATGCGGCCAACCTGGGTTCGATCTCTGCCATCCCATATGGTCCCCTGAGCCTCACCAGGAGTGATTTCTGTGTGCAGATTCCTGAGCATCGCCAGGTATGACCCCAAAACAACAACAAAAAATTTTTTAGAAGATAAACAGTACAGAATGTCTATGATGAAAAGATCTTCCCACCCCTCGTGGCAGCTGAAAAGATCACAGCAACCTATAAGCTTTTTTCTCTGAGCAGCAACCAACTGATTAGATTAGATTTAATATTAGTATGAAGTCCACATCATGTTTTGCAAAATAAACACAGAGATGTCCAAGGAGACTGTATGGAAGGCTATGCAGAGGGTTTCTTTTTTAAATATTAGAGAGAAAACTTCTATGCGTCTGAAGTTTCACTATCTTATCATGGGCTTTTCCCCCACTCCACTGAAAATGAAGGTAACAGAGGGTGGAAGGCAAGGCTACCAGTACAGAACAGTTGTATTTGCTGGTCGAGATTTATATCTGGCTCCCCTGGGAAGGTGACAGGTTTGTAGATATATGGGAGAAACAACATTGTGTGGCCTTGAGTGAAAGAAGAGTTGAATTCTTTTATTATTTCGTTTGTCTGCTAAACTGCACGGTATTAAATATGTCAATATTTGCTTACCCAAGGCAGCACCAAAACACTGAATTTCTATCTTCCCCGGGGGAGAGAGTTCACCTTTAAAATGATTTCAAATAACACACTAAGTAATGGGAAGAACATGAACTGGTGTCGATTCAAAAGGACCTGCATCTTCAAGAATGCACTATTTTATTTTTATGTCTCATTTTATGTTGAATAGATGGCTAGAGTACGGTGATTTATTACCAGGTTTCCCTATCCAACTGCCTCTCTTTCTGTTTTGTAGAACGGAGATCTCATCGTGGGAGGACCTGGAAGTTTTTATTGGCAAGGTAAGTTCTGTGAGCAGAAAAGCAGGCCCTTTTGTTGGTCCTCATCTGGAAATGAGGGGAGAACAGACCAATACTGACTTTTAAAAAAAATAATTAATATTTTAATTGAATCACAGTGAGATACACAGTTACAAAGTTGTTCATGATTGGGTTTCAGTCATTAATGTTCTAATACGTGTCCCTTCTCCAATATACATTTCCCACCACCAGTGATTCCAATTTCCCTGCCTCTACCCCATCTACTACCTCTATGGCAAGCACTTTCCTTCTCTCTCTTTCTCTCTCTCTTTCTCTATCCCTCACTCTCTCCCTCCCTCCCCCCTCCCTACCTCCCTCTTGCCTCCCTCCTCTTGGGTTTTGTGGTCTATAATACAGATACTGAAAGGTTATCATGCATTTCCCTTTACCTACTTTCACACTCAGTTCCTGTCCAAAGCGGTCATTTCCAATTATAATTGTCATACTGGTTCCTTCTCAACACTGACTTTTTTGTGTGTGATGGGAATCTTCATATTTTCAAATGAATGAGGCATCGTATCGTATCACCATGTGCTTTATCAGAATGATTTTTTTAAAAAATATTGCTGCCAGTTAATTCATTGACGCAGCAGCTATGGATGGAGGCTAACCCAGGCATTGGTGCTCGACACCAGGAATGCACTAACGGAAAAATTAATCATCTGGTTCTGAGAGAGTGTCACAAAGGCCAGAGGCAGGCGCAAGGCAAACTCATTTGGGAGCAAGTTACCCTGAACTGAGATGTGAAACCTGAGTCAGAATCTGCTGAAAGACAGGAGGGACCCTAGGAAACGTCCTATGGCTGCAGTGATAGTCACAGGAAAGGAGGAAAGTCCAGGTGAGAAGACCTAATTATAATAAAAAATGGAAAGATTTTCATTTTTTTCATTATAATTAGAAAATATGCTTGTAAATAGTGTTTAAGTTTATGATATTAATGTTCAAAGTTAGTGCATACAACTGCTACCAAAGTACCCCTGAACCTCTACCACTGTCTTTGGGTCATTTCTGATCCCATCCCTTTTTCCCTCCCTCAGGTCCCCAAATGTTCCTCATTTTCAACACCCCTATGACCCCCTTCTCCCCCCCCTCCCCATCCCCCACCACACACACTCACACATAACTCAGTTCACAGGAGAAACTCAAAGAAACAGCAAAGTTGAGGGAAAGAGGGCATTCAGCTCTAAACCACGAAAACTTGCAGATTCTACAGACCTAGTTCATAACTTGGGTAAATGCTATTGTCCTAATATCACAGCAGTACTTTCAGGAGCAGCCCCTAGATATATTTATGAAGATTATATTTATGACTTGATTTGACAATTTTTTCTTTTGGGGTCTCAATCAGAAATACTGAGGAAATTATGTGTGAATTACCAAGAAATAATTTAGCTTTATTATTAAATGTTACCTGTCTAAGGCATTTCTCAAGTTTTCTCCCAAAGCACACAAAATCATCTTTCCAAACCTTTAGTTATCCATAATAAGTGGGGGATGCAGAGAACTCCTTGTCATGAAAGTTCTCTAACCATTCTGTCAACTCTAATACAACCAACCAGATTTCAAGACTTCTGATATTAACTCTACTTGCAAGAAATTAATCCAAGTTCTTATATCAATGTTGGTAGTGAAAATTGCTTTTCTTTCTTCTCTTTCCCCTTTCCTTCCTTCTTTTATTTTTTAAAATTCTGTATCCCCCAGACTTTGCAGCCTTCTGCCATTGTAATTTTATGTTCTATATATACATTTTAGTATCAGTAGTTCAAAAATTATAGCATTATTTTCTTTAACTTACATTGACATGCTTTAACTTATTAAGTCAATGATTTAGATCCAATATACCTGATGTTATGAGACTACAAAGCATGTTATTACAATGTCAAAAGAGACCTGGACCATAGCTGACTTTAGAACAAATCTTTCTCCAAGAACCTCAGTTTTTCCACCATTAAGACACTAGACTTTAGCAAAATATCTCAAAGTCTTTTGACCAGAACATTCTAGAATAAATGCTTCATCACAGAAACTTCACCTGCATAAAGTGCTCTACCTTGCAGTCCTAGCAGAAAATTTGTTATTGAGTTGCAAGCTGTTGGATACTCATTGGATCATCAACATATCCAAGGCATCTTCCATGTTCAGATGTTCTGTGTGAGCTGGGGGAGGGTGTATGTCTTTATCCAATCAATGAATTGATTTGTTTAAATGCAGGCCAAGTGATCACTGCCAATATTGCAGATATCATTGCAAATTACTCATTTAAGGATATCCTAAGGAAACTGGCTCGAGAAAAACAGACGGAAGTGGCCCCAGCTTCCTACGATGATAGCTACCTCGGTAAGAGCCATTGCATGGCCTCTGTTGTTTCTTAAAAGACGAGGTTGTCTCCTTTTGGTATTAGAGAGATATGGGCTTCATAGAAGCTGTTTGGGAGAGTTTCTGTTTTTTCAATTTCCTGGAAAAGCTTGAGAAGAATTGGCAATAGGTCCTCTTTAAATGTTTGGAAAAATTTGCTAGTAAATCCGTCTGGGCCTGGGCTTTTGTTTTTGGGAAGACTTTTGATTACAGTTTCAATTTCCTTGATGTGAATAGGTCTATTCAGGTACTCTATATCTTCTTGATTCAGCTTTGGGAGATGGTACTACATGGAAAGTATCATGTTAAGCGAAATGAGTCAGAAAGAGCGGGATAGACACAGAAAGATTGCATTCATCTGGGGAACATAAAGCAACAAAAAGGGAGAGTAACACCCAGGAATGGCTGAGATTAGTACCAGGAATTTTGCTCCATGAATGGAAGGCCAGCCACAGGCTCTAGGTGAAAAGGAAGCTCAGATAGAGAAGAGAGTACCAAATGAAGGGTGTTGTGAGGGTCCTCCCAGGGTGGGAGAAGCATGCTAAAAGTAGTCGATAGACCAAACATGATTGCCACTCAAAGCCTCTCTTGCAAAACACAGTACCCAAAAGAAGAGAGAGAGAACAAGGGGGAATACCCTGCCACAGAGGCAGGATGGGACGGGGGGGGGGGGGGGGGAATGAGGGTAGGGGGGGGGATGCTGGGACCCATGGGGATGGATGACGGGCACTGGTGGAGGGATGGGCACTTGATCATTGTATAACTGAAACCCAAGCACAAAATTTGTAAGCCTATAACTGTACCTCATGGTTTTTCACTAATAAAAAAAGAAAAAAAAGAAAATATACAGAAATTAAAAAAAAAAAAAGACGAGGTTGTCACGTGTAGATGCCACTCTGATGCCTGATTGGTCTGGTATTATTTGGCAAACTTTATGCAATTTTTCTTATTAGCTTAGAGTGGACTCAACTTTTCCTTCTCTTTCATTCAGCCCGGCCATATGCCATACTTGAGAAATATATTGCAGGCTCCATAACAATATTTGGCTCATAACTATTTTGCCAGTGATGGATTCTATATATTAGTGTGGCTGCCCTGTTCCTTATGGGGAGACAAGATAATAATTCTTTCTGATTTCAAGAGCAACAATGGAAGAATTTTCAATGGTTAGAAAGTTCTCAGATTTTATTATGAGCAAGTGGCTCAAAGGTGTTTGTCTGTACAGTTTTCCTGCTTTGGCACCCTGTTGGCATTTGGCTCACTTGAAGACATTCTTTTTTAACTAAAGTTACCTTACCTTACAATAGAGCTAAGTAAGATTTGTGGAAATCACCATGAAATGTATTAGGAAGAAGACCTGTTAGATGACCAGAAGGAACAAATCCTGTGCCCAAGACCGTTGATAGTTTCATGGTCATAAATGAGTCTGTTGCCTTCCAAGGTATCACGACTGCTATAACCCACTGTAACACGGATTCTGAGGCATTCCTGCTCTGGAATGTGTTCCAAAATCTGACTGTATTATCACACTCAGAAGAAATAGATCTATACAATTCTAGAATTCAATTTAAAAATATTCATATTAATTTTTTCCTGGCTATAAATCTAAATGTCTTCAACATGTGTCAAGATTTTTTGCACAAAAATTACTTTGGCAGTTCTTTTATTGTTCTAGGGGAAGCATAATGGTGAAGCCTCTGAGTGTGATTGGTTTCTTTTCCTTAAAACAGGATACTCAGTTGCAGCTGGAGAATTCACTGGAGATTCTCAGCAAGGTGAGACAGCTGAGCTTTGGGTTTAGAGAGGAAATGGTAAAATGATCTATTAAGTTATTTGAATTATGTTATTTCTTTTGCTACTCAAAAAATCTATAAATGAAATCCCGAGTGCACATGCTAATGTTTCTTAGAATAATGAATCATTAAACTCTTGAGCACAGGTTTGCAAGTCTTGAAGAATATCTATCTTTTGGCTATTTGGGGTCACTGTGCTTTGGGGGTAACTATCGGACCTGTACTCAGTGGTCACTCCTGATTGTGCCCAGGACCATGCAGTGCTGCAAATCATACCTGGGCATCTCACATGCAAAGCATGTGCCCTTTGAACTCTCTCTCTCTCTCTCTCTCTCTCTCTCTCTCTCTATATATATATATATATATATATATATATGTATATATCTTGCCTTCAAAGAATTTCTTAAAAGTGGATTACCAGGGATGGGAGAGAACCTGATTACATTGGTAGTAATAGATTACCATAGATTACCCTCTGGTAGTGGACACTGGTGAAAGAATTGGCATTGGAATAATATAATCCTGAAACTCAAACATAAATATCTTTGTAACTTTGTAATTTATGGTAATTCAATAGAAAAAGCAAATTATCAATTAATCTTTGTAGAATCTAGTCAATGCAATAAAAATCTATAGTTCTTAAGTTCTACTGTTCACCAAGCATGGACATTAAGCCAACTGTTCTGTGTGTGTTATAGGAGAGATACTCATAGGGATATCCTGTGAGTATCTCAATGAGGAGATATTATAAAGCACAGTGCATTGTCCAGCAGGTAGAAGATGTTTAGTAAACTGGAGGTTCCTCCAGGCTGTTCCCTGGTGTGGCTAATGTCTGATTCCTGTATTTCGAGGCTTAAGATCTACATTTTTCCTGAATGTTTTACTGGTATTAAGAGAACTCGAAAGGTTTTGCCATGAGTTATTATAAAGGATCTAAGAAAAGTTTCCTTTCTTCTCTCCCAGTGGAGTGTTTTATAGTTGAGTGACAGTTCTGCTAATTTGTCTTAGACTCTAGGCAAATTAACTGTCTCAAGAGATTAGACAATTATGGTGGATATCTTTAATCAACATTACATTTAATAACTCCTTACTGCTGTGCCCAGAGGAGATTGCAAGCTCTGACTTTCTGATTGTGATGATGAGTTGCTATAAAGAATTCTGTGTTTGTGGGCTACAAGAAGTGGCGGCTGTCACCTAATTCAAATGGCATAATGACCCCTTCCTGTCTCTTAGTTGACAGGTCCGATCCTGACATCAGTCAGCTCCGTTATATTTGGCTGTGTTTGTTTTTAACTGCCAGGAGCATTTAATTCCTACAAATAAAGATGATTGAAAACTGAGCTGTTTTCTAGCCATGCTGACAGCATTTCTGGCCTTCCATCCAGAGAACAGAGTTTTTCCCAACTCTGCAGCATTCCTCACCTTCCCTGTTGGTGCTTGATCTATCCTGTGCTCTTGGGACTATATGGGGTGCTGAGGACTGAACCCGGGTTACCTGATTACTAGACAAATGCTCTACACACTGCACTATCTCTCTGGTTCCCAACATATACCTTCCTGCTGGCCATTCTCACTTACATGCAAACATACTCTTACTTATCCCCATTGCCAGGCACCTATGGCTGCCAGGTTACTCCCTAATTCTGCTACAAACAGCTCCAGGCGTACAGACTCTCTTTAATTTATGACATGAGACTCTCCCATCGATAACCCAAACTGTTGCTATCTATGCTAGTACAAGGACTTCCACCCCAGTAAAAGCCAGAGAACTCAGAGCTGGGCTTAATCTTCAAGGTCTGCCCTGCTCAGAGTTGAGAAGTCAGGCTCTGGGTCTAGGAAAAGAAGTACACAGAGACTGGGGACACTGGTAAATCACCAGAGCTCACTTGTGTTTTGTTTTCTACTGTCCATGTCTGAAGCAAAAGCAAATAAAGAACAGTGACTTCAAACTTCCAGTACCCTGCACCTTAGTTATTTGTTTAAAATGCCAGAGTGGTAGCTTTGATTGGTTGTGTAGCTTTAAAGTCTTGGTGTCACACCCCTTCTGAATGACTGTTCTTAATCTCTAGAATTGGTTGCCGGAGTTCCAAGAGGAGCTCAGAACTTTGGATACGTGAGTACCTGAAATGCGTTCTAGGGTATTTACTTACCCATGCCAAGAAGCATCATATAGCTTGTAGATATTTTCAAGACTGGAGAGAGAACCCAAAGGATGGAGTGCAGGCACTGCATGAGGGGGACCCAGATTCCATCCCTGACACCACATGGTCCCCTGAAAACCACCAGAAGTGACAGGAAAGCACAGAGCCAGGAGTAATCCCTGAGCAATGCCAGATGTGCCATGAATAAACAAACAAAACAGAAACAAATAATAAATACCTTTCCATATGGATCTGTGCTTTTTTTTTGTTTACTGAAAGAGAATAAAACCAAATCAGGCTAGCTTCATTTTTTTTCTGCCCAAGAAGCAAGATCAGCTACATAATTTGTGGGACCCAGCGAAAATGGAAAATAGAGTCCCAGATTCAAAATTATTAAGAAAAGTTTTGTCCATCAACAGGTAGGCTTTAAACCAAACCCAGAGTCCACTGAGTGTCGCCCCTCTCCCAACCATTCTTGTGCACAATCCAGGAATCACTGGAGAGGGTCATTGGTGATACAGTCCCCATTTTAGCATCAAGCATGTCTCAGGCGATGTCATGTCCCTGAGTCCTAGGGTTTCTGTACAAATGACCATAAACAGAGTGACTTCGAACCATACCAGTCTGTGGACCCACAGTTCTAGGATGCAGAATCTGAAATCAAAGTGTTGAAAGCCACTGCCCAGTTACAATTTTTACTCCAGCTGGACCACCAGTTAAAATTTCTGGACTTCCTGGAGCACATGGCCACATTTGTAGCCATGCAATATCTCCAAACTCTACAACAACTAAAAATTCAGGAGGAACACCCCAGATTGGGTGGGATGTAGCATAGAGGCCAACCACTGACAAAAACATTAACACCGAAGGACTAACTTGTAACAACATTTTAGAAATCCCTCAGACAAGGACTTAATATCTGCATGGTGAGATGCAACAATTTTCACTCATTTTCTTCTAGGAAAATATTTTTGACCGTTCTATTCTCGATTTAATGGTAACAAGCAATATAAAATGAATTATTGTGGGCCTGCTACAGGGTCAGGCTGAGGGGTAGTTGAGAAAGTTGGAGACAATAGTGGACGGAAGGTGACAGTGATGGGGGAGTGGGGTTGGAATATTGAATGCCTGGAACAAATTATCATGAACAACTTCTTAAACCATAGTGTTTCAATCAAGTGTGTGGTGAGAGGGTGGGGAGAGGGGAGAGGAAATGGTGTTGGAAGGTGTAACTTGTTCACAGCATTGAGGGGAAGTGTCTCCTGGCCTCCCCAGCCCCTGGGGTCCTGCCTTTGTGTGGCATGTGCCAACCACACCTCAGACTCTCCTCCAACTCCCTGTGTACTCCTGGTATCTGCATCCAGGCCCTGCCTCTCCTTTCTCACATGCTCTCCTGGTTCTGGAGAAGAGGGACAGATCCACTGTGACGAGCTTTTCAAGGCCCTGATGAGTCTGATCAGCTGTTTGACCATTAGATCCAGTGAGCTCAGGATCCTGGGAGGTGATTCCAGAAAGATAACTTTCTAGCAGCCTGGATCATACTCAAACCCAAATGTTATTAATCATTCCTACCAAAAAGAAAAAAAAGGAAAAGGAAAGTTGATTTTATGAAAAGAAAAAACATTTAACATAATTTTTAAAGTTCATTAACTATATACCAGCTATCGACTTGGGGTTGTGAATAAAAAGAATAGTGCTCTTTTTGCTCCAGGGAGACTGTTTTTAAAATGTCATGGTTTTACTAAACACCAGGATAATGAATTTCTCCAAATCGCATAAATACAGAAATGAATTGAGACAAAAAAAAAAACCCTGATGAGAAGAATGAACTGACCATGGGACTCATTGTTCTCAGCAGTCGTGAATTCAAATTTTTGTTCTACACTTATGATTAATAAGCATGTGTGTTCTCAAGAAGGATCATGGATTTAACCACAAATAAAAAGTTCACTTGGCTATTTTTTCATGTTGTGGGGGCCACATCCTGCAATGCTGGAGGCCCAGTGGTTCTTGGGGACCAACAGAGCCACAGGGAGGTGGTGGGAAGGGACACATTGTTCTGGGGATCACAATGACTAAGGCCTGTGCTCTGTGCCTTGAACCACACACCTTGACCTAAGAATTGACTTTTATTTTTAAGGTTATTATCACAGGTGTATGTTTTTGTTTTACATACAGTTAACCATTAAAAATTTCTGATAAGAACTTAAGAATGATTGAAATTCCAAGTAAAAGAAATGCTTCCCAATTCTATGTCCAATGATGCAATCTATTTAATTTTTATGATTTCAGGTTTCCATCATTAACTCCACAGATATGACCTTCATTCAAAATTTCACTGGTGAACAGGTGAAGATATTTTTAATATCAAGTAGCCCATGTCACTCTGTATTAAACAGATGTTGTACTGCTTTTATGATCTTTTATAAAATAGCTATTTCCTGAACCCATTCAATGAATTCATTGGACATGGGGACTGTCACCAACTCAGACCAGTGGAGCTAGTGGGAGAGGGTGGAGGATGGTCTGATCCATAAATATGCACCCATCAACATTTCAGATGCTGCTCAGTGATAGTATAAAAAAATACCCTAAATGTGGAGCGGGTGGCAACCTGGATGCAGCAGCTGGGCAAGACTTCGAACATAGTTGGTCTCTGGGGTGTGTGTGTGATGAGACAGAAGTAAGTGATAAGGACAGTGGCTGACATATAAGCTCACTGGGCCACCAGATTGGTGTTTAGGGGCCAATGTTTCATTCAAAGTGCAGTGGGAAGCAGATTTGTATAGATATGAATTTGGTGTGGTGGGAAGGGAAATGAGGCACCCTGTGGTACTCAGGGCTTACTCCTGGCTCTTCACTAGGAATCACCCCTGGATGTCAGGGTTCAACCTGAGTTGGCCACTTGCAAGGCAAATGAGCTACCTGATATACTATCTCTCAAGCCAATTATATATTATATATATAAACAGTGTATTTAATTGGCACCTGGTACCTGGTACCTGGGTCCTAATTCTTCCAGGTTACTGTAATTTAAAAATCCATAGGCTTGGTGGCTAAAGGAGCAAATATGGTTGATGACAGTCTGGGTTTGGGAAGCCAGATCTGATCAGTCTACTCTCCACTTCGTCAACACGTGTGTTTTGTTGAATCCTCACGTGTTGAAGCTCACCGGGGTCTCAGATGAAAGCGCTAGTCCCATTCATGGGGGCTTCCACCTCCATGTGCTCATCTCTTCCCCAAGGTCCACTTCCTGGTACCATCCCAGTCAGAATCAGGTTTCAACATATGAATGGGTGGGGAGAGGAAGTGAAATATTCCATCAAGGACAACCTTGTATATTTGAAAAAAAGAAAGAAGAGGTGGAGAAATGGAAGTTCTGCAAGACCTGAGTCATTGATGTACTCATCGCCTCTGCAAAGGGCATTTGGCACCCTCAGCTACTCTGAGCTGGACACTATCCTGGACATGGAAGAGTGAAAAACACTGGCCAGTCACTGCCTTTGGTGAAAACCTTTAGAATGGATTATAAGCTGATTCAATGAGTAGGTGAAGAGGGGCTAAATCAGCTAAGACTTTGGCAGAATACAAAACAGGGAAATAAAAGTTTTGTCAAGATGTCACTATGGGCTGAATCTTGGAAATGCAGAACTAACTCTGGCCCTAAACTTTAAGATCTGAAACATGGGAGAAATTGCTATTCAGTAGGTATCCTCAGAAAGTTTAGGCATCTTGCCAGTACGCTCAGCATCTCACAAAGATGCCCAAATAGATGCCTAGGTTACTGTGGATTCAACACTGGGTGAGGGGTTAGGCTAAAGGACTTGAAGACTCTCCAGATCTAAGAAATTGTCAGTGTCTGTAAATTTTTTGCAAATGTATGTCACAATGAGACTAATTTTTGGGGGGTCACTAAGAGATAAATATCAAATTATGTTCATGCAAAGTAGATAATCCAATAATTTTTCTTTGCAGATGGCCTCTTATTTTGGATATACGGTCGCAGTGTCAGATATTAATAATGATGGGTAAGTTTAATAAGGGTTTTCTTTCCCACTAGATATTTATTCATAAAGATGTTATTTGTTTTTGCTTCATGAAATATATCCTTCCTCCAAAAGATAATAAAAGCTCTCTTGTTTTAGCTTTTTTGGGGGGGAGGGGGTTCAGGGCAGGATCTATATCTACTAAGGAATTCCTATTATCCTATTTTAGGACTGAGATGAGATGTTCCACATCTACCATTTCTAGAAGGATTTCACTTAACTTTCTCTTTAATTTGGTCCTGGGCCATTCAAAAGCCATAGTCTTTGAAGAATTTTCTCATCTGTCTCTCTTTTACTCCTAGGGTTCCCTTTCACATGTGAATACATACATAAAACATTTGCACACAAATAGATTTCTTTCTCCTGATGTTGCTTTCACTCACATATTTGAAGCACCCATGGAAAAGATGAAATAATACCGATCTTTTTTTTCAGATCATGGCAGTAAATTTTAATTGAGCAAGGACCAATGAGCATGATAAATGATAGTTGTGTTTAAGTCATTCCCTCAAAAAATAAATTATCAGGCATTTCTTTGATTCACTAAAAGAGCTCCTGACTGATTTAAAACACAGAAGTAAGAAAACCAGTAAATTGACATGGACAAACTATCCACCCAGTAAATATTGTTGGAGCAGCCGGTATATTCCCAACACTGCTCAAAATATTTCAGTGACAAAACAGACTGTGACTCTGATTATGAAGCTTACATTTTTTTTTGTAAAATCAAATATTTGAAGAATTCTCAGTATGTTCTAGATCTGGGATAAGTATATTGCTACATTAATGATACACATTAGCCTTTGTATTTCTAAAATTGTACTTTTTCTATCTTGTGGTAGCTTGTGGCTTGATAAAAATTTAATACTTCTTTTAACCTTGGGTAAATATCTTCTTATTCTCCTTTCTTTGAACATGTATTTCTCAAACACTTACTTACCATACCAGGAGTCCTGTTCTAGATGTCGGGCACAGAATAGACTAGAAATCTGACCCTCATAAAGGTTACACTGGAATTGGGATTGGCAGATACAGGCAAACAATAAGTCAGGTAAAAAGCATGTGATGTGTCCTGCATGGGAAACGTAACAGAAGAACTAAAAGCAACCATGACACCCCAATAGGAGAATCAATAAATAAAATGGTATATTCAGATACAGATTTTGTTTATTTTTCATCATTCAAAAGAAATGGGCTCCCAAGTCATCAGAAGGGCATGAAGAAAATGCAAATTCGATTGTGAAGTGAAAGAAACTAGTTGGAGATGTTTCCACATGGTATCACTCCAACTGTATGACATTCTGGAAAAGGCAAAGCTATGGAGATAGTAAAACAATAAAAAAATCAGAGGTTGCCAGGACATAGCAGGGAGAGAAAAACAAGTGGGTAGAGCCCACGGAACTTTTCTTTATAGTACTCCAAAGGTGGAAACCTGCCGTTATAAAGTAGTCTAAACCCATGAACGTCCAACACCAAGAATTAACCATCACATCAACTCTGGACTTGAGTGACAGTGGTATGTAGGTGTAGTACACTGAGTGTAACTGAAGGATCATTCTGTGGAGTATTGATCATGAGGGAGCACACAGGTAGGGTGGAGAGAGAGGGAGTAACATAGGAACTCTGTGCCTTCCACTCAAACTTAAAAGCGGGGCAGAGGAGGTGGGGGTGGTTAGAAGCATCAGCAGGGCCAATTAGAGGCCACACTGTTCAGTGTTTAGGGCCACTTCCTGTGGTCAGGTTGATGAGAACCTGTGGTTCCTAGGACCAACCCAGGGCTCCCACCTGCAAAATGCATGCTCCAACCCTGAGCTCTGCCCTGGTCTGGATGGGCCATTTGAATTCTGGTAGTTAGGAAAGTCCTCAGGGTAGAGATCAGAGTATGAGAGGGATGGAGGGAGTAGTCAGGAGCTACTCTGGGAAGGCTGTTCTGGAGGAAAGGACACATTTGCAGAGCTGCTGGCACACCATGGAGGCAGGAAAAGGAAGAGCTGGCAGCTACTTTCTTGATTCCAAACTGCCGTCCAGAGTGTCAACCAACTGGACTGTGGATGGGGAGTCTAGTCCCCAGGAGGATGCAACTTGCCATGAGCCCCTGCAGGATTCTGAGTGAGGACATAGCTGCTCCCAACTCCACATTGCAGGCCACGTGGGCCTGGGCCTGGGCAGTCTTTGGGGAGCCTGTGGCCATCAGCCTGCTGAGGCATGAGAGAGGGTCACAGCAGAGACACAGTCGTGGCTGAACCCAGGTGGAGGTGGGCTGAGAATGCAACCTGCCCTGGAGTGAATGGCTGGAAACGAATTTGCTTTCATCTCCAGGTTAGTTGTGAAAATAAAAAGGTACCACTGAGGAGTATCAGTTATTAATCCTAACTGGAGGTTCTGGTGGGTTGGTTATGACAGTTTCAGTCATTTAGAAAGAAAATGGGGGAAGCGTCAAACTCTGGAAACGCGGCAGACCATCTAGATTCTGGAAGTTTCCTTCAGCAACCCAGAATCACACCGTGGCCTTGGGGAGGAGCACAGGCATGTTTCTCTGAACAGATGGAGACGTATCAAGAGTGAGGCTGTTCCTTCTGCAGTCACCAGCATAGGGGCCCAGATGAATCCAGTGTGCCCCCTTCCATCGACTTCAGAGACTTCCAGCTCCCTCATCAACCCCCTGTTACACAATAGGCCCTACAGGCCATTGTCTCCTTCCTGGAAACTCATTCTAGTCTACAGCACAGTTTTGTGACAACAATTAGGGTTTTTTTTTTTCATGTTCATAATAGAAAAAGAAAACTTGTGAGAAAAAAAGCCCTCACTGGTTTCCTGCTGATCAAAACAACATGGTAGAAACCGACACAGAGAGTTTCCAGTGATTTATTCTTTCTTGATGTTCTTTTTTTTTTTGAAAAAAAAAATGCTCTGCTCTTTCTTTTTTATTAGGTTGTGTACTCTGATTTGCAATGGGAAAAATATCCATGAGCTAAGAATTTCCATCCTAAAGTGTTCATAGATTTTCAGTCTGTATGGGATTTTCTGTTTAAGTACCGACCCGTACGTCAATTCAAGGTTCCGTTATAAATGGGTGTGCTTTGGAAGCCAATAGACAAGACCACGAGAGATGCTGTTTTTCATTCCAGATGAAGACACAACATAAGTTACAACAATAAGGATGTGATTCACTCCCTTGTGTTTCTCGAACAACCCTCCATATTGTTAGTTTGCAAAAGGACACAGGGAAAGCCTGGCATCTGGTGACTCTAGGCTAGGACAAGGGGGCTGAAAACCACTGAGAACGGAGACATTCAGTGATCTCACTTCCCTGGCCAGGTCAATGCAGACAGGCAAATGACTCACTAAGCTCAGGGGTGGGAACATGCATCTCCCACTGTGGAAGTTTCTAGCAGAGATCCTGAGGCCTTATAGGCTGATGCAACAGGGATAAATTCCTGTATGTGCCTGTCCTAGATAATATATATTTGGTCTCCTCTTTGTTAGCTATTCAAATGCCAGCCTCTTTATTCTCTACCAAAACAATTCTAGAACCCAGTATGATCTTAAGCCACAACATTTTCTCATGGAGATGATGCTTCACTGTCTCTCTATCATATGACATAGGAAGATTCACACTACAACTTAACGAAGCTACCTAAAATTCCCCAGAAGCAAACCCAGACACAATGGTTAAATAAATTTTCCAAGATCACACACTAATTGGGAAAAGATTCCCAGAGCTTCTGCTGACTTACCAAAAATTTTATTTCTTGTTGCACAGAGAACTTTTTACTAAGCACTATAAAGGAGAGAAATAAACATCTATTTTCCATGTTCAATAGTTCGTAATTCATAAAGAATTTTTATATGTTTTTTAATCAAATGAGATGAGTACCATGCCTCTCACATCCTCTAAGAATTGGGAAGTGGAATAAATTTTGTATTTGTCACTGAAGAAATCCAATACCTTCCATATTTTAATTTGAACAAAGAAATTGTGCATAAAACACAGTGTTTCAACAGATAGATGCATAATGAAATTACTTCTACATTTAGGTAACTAACAAATCTGTGTGTATAAAGAGAGAATCTGAAATCTACTCTTTGAGTCAATTCTCAGTCTAAAGCACATTAACTCTGATCATTATGCCTCACGGCAAAGCTCAACAAATTACTCATCTTTCACAGATGACCAATATCTCCTTTGCTCCTCCTGTGTAGCCCTGGTAACTGCTATATTATTTTCTGCTTCTGTGAATTTGATTTCTGTAAATTAACTTCTGTGACTCTCTCCCTTCTCTCTCTCTCTACCCCTTCCTTGCTCTTGCCCTCTCTCACACACACAAATTGAGTTTTCTAGCTATAGTTATCTATAGCTATTTATGAATTGAGAAGACATGGACTTGAATTACCTTAAATAAGAGATCGTGGTAGAATAATAACATATATTTGTGTTTAAGTGTTTTGTCTATTAAGAATCCCACATTCCTATTAAGACTAAATGTGGATATGATTGATTTCAATTATTTTTATAAGGAAGGTCTTATTTCCACTTATAAAAACATGAAATCATTTCAAAGTTATTTTCATCCAAACAACGTTTAAATTTTCTTTAATGAGGCTAAAAATGACTCAAGAACAAAAACATTGTGGTTTTTAGTGTCATGACATATATGAAAAGTCGGTTTGAGTAGATTTTAAAAAGCCACACTAGTCAGTTGCATTTTGCTTACGCATTAGTTAGGATTCAAAAATAATTTTACAGAATCTGTTAATGCTAGCTTTGGGATTTTCTGGAAGTTGGGGCCACAGCTAGCCGTGCTCAGGGGCTATTCCCAGCTGTATGATCAGGAGTGACCCCTAGTGGGCTCAGGAGATCATTGGAGGGGTCAGAAACTGAACCGGGGTCAGCAGCAAACAAGGCAAACATCTCACTCCTGTATCATCTCTCAGCCCACAAGTATTTATTCCAAAACCCTCTTCTAGTTTTCTCAACATTT